TATGTATGTGTGTGTGTGTGTGTATGTATGTATGTATGTATGTATGTATGTATGTGTGTATGTATGTATGTATGTGTGTGTGTGTGTGTATATGTGTGTGTGTATGCTTGTATGTGCTATATGTGTGTAAGGCTGGGCTGGAGCCTTGGTCCTGGGCTTGGTTTTCCCTGTCTCATAGCATGTAATCTTCCCAGAAGCCCTGGACACCTTGGGCCACCTTCAGGTAGTAGTAGTTCTGTCCCCTCAGCTGATCAGTGGCCCCATCTGAGTACCTAGGTGTGTGCTTGCTGGGGTCACTGCACATACCTAGAAAATTACTGGGGCTTGGGTCTGCATACCCCAAAGCCTTTCTCTCAATACAAAGACTGCCATTAGTCTCTGTGAGAGTGGTGCAGTGCTTGTCTTGAGCTGTTGTCCTTATAGCAGGGGTTAGGATGTCCTTGGACACAGGTAGCCTCAGCCCCATGTACCGTGTGTGCAGAAGATCATGATGGGAGTAGAGAGGGCCTTGCAGGAAAGTGACCCCCTTGTCTATGTACCTCATTTTCTATGTGTGGAGACACAATGGTCCCTCCCTTTGAACGAAGAACCTCTTGAGCTCTGTTCTTTGAAGGATGACAGGACCTCAAAAGTACATAGGTCACACCTTCAGGACATCAGTGCCAATATTTGGTTCTTGGCCTAGTATATGTGGTTCACAGATCCAGTCAGTACATCCTGAGCTGCTGGGTTTCTTATGACTCTAGCACCCCTGTGCTTTTTAATGATTTTTCACAAAAATGCTGTCTGATCTTAGTCTGTCAGACACTTATGTTTATATCTAGTGTGATTATTTCAAAGGATAGCCTTGGTCCCTCTGACCTCGCTGTCCAGCTGCTCCACACTAGTTTAGATGCTATCTTAAAGGCACCAACAGGTTCTCAGGTGACTTGTGGCCTTAGTCAAGGGAGTGAGACTAATTTAGTTACAGGAAGCCCTTCCCTTCTACCTGGCCCTGACAACACTGAGTGTGAAACCCACTCACATTCATCAGGGCCACTGCCAGGCTGGAGAAAACCAAGGCCACTTCATTTGGTGTCAGTGCCTGTTGCACTCCCCAGTTCCCTCAGCATGTGTCCAGTCTCCTCCCCAAATCTCCCTCAGGTGCCCTGAGGGAAAGGACATGTCTCTATATAGAAAGCATTCCTCAGAGAGTATCACACTCTAGTGTCTTTGTGTTTACTTTTAAACAGTTCAATTAGCTGGAAAGTTCTATGCTTTGAAGTTTTAGCAGGTAAGCACTCCAGTTTTGTGTATGTATCAAAGCTTTGCACAGAAACTGTAATCAAAGTCAAATACAGTATTGAATGGAATGTAATACTTTGTTCTATCCAAATCAATAAAAATGTGTCATGGAAACTGGTCATTGTTTGTTTGACTTGGAACCATGTGGTAGCTGGGGCCACTTGCCCTAGGCCTAGCTCTGTTCCTTGTAAGCCAGCGTAACTCTTCTGATAGTACAGGGCCTCCCAGTGTCCTGCCAAGTGGTGTACAGCAGAGAACATGCAGACTGGCATGCCCCATGGTGTCCTTTGTACTTGGGCACCTGGAAGAAGATGGACAACGCCCTGTTACCCCAAGCATGCACTGGGTGCAGTGGCTTTTCCCTGGTCTTACAGCTTCAGAGTCGAGGAGGGGAGGACATGTGCGTGAGTGTGTGTGTGCTAAGTGGGTTGGGAAGTATACAGTTCCCCCCATCTTTGCCAAGTGTGTCCAAGTCATACCTAAAAACACAGTGTGCACATTTTATTTTGACAGATTCAAACCAATAAGGGTTTTCATCTTGAACATGTTGAACATACTGTTAGATTTGGGAATAGAGATACCGATTTGACAGGTGTGGGGTCAGTGGGAATCTGCTTTGGGGTGATTCTGTTAATAAATGGGAATGCTGACATGTACACAGGTTACAGCACCACCTCCCACCATCAGTAGAAGCAGGTGTTGTCTTCTTCAGCCACATCTTCAGACTGTTGCTAACAGGTCTGGATACAGGTCCTGAGAGATGAACTAGCACACCTCTCCGGTGGTACATCCTTGTCTGGTTTCTCTTCCTTTATGATACCACTGAGTTCAACCGCTAGATAGACATTTACACCTTGGAAACGGGCAGATGAGAAGGTTAAGGGCTTGCTTTCAAACACACTAAACAATGTATCCCTTATAGTTGGACAGCACATTTTAACTGCATCTGTTATGTCAGTCTTGCACTGCTTGTTTTTTCAGTTGTGTGAATTGACAGCCTCATAAGAGCCCCAAAGAGGGTGATGAGTAGCTGCCATCCTGTCTAGTGCTGGCTTTGTTTGAACTCCACCCCACCCCACCCAATCTGCACTGCAGCTGGGGTGACCATTGCTTCTCGGGTCATACATCCCAGGCTCTGGGGAGTTGAATTCTTAACCTGAAGGCTGACAGAATCCAGCAAGCCTGGAAAGTGAACCCCAAGAAACCTGGATCTCCACTGCCCCTTCTCAGGGTGTGGGGTAGAGATGTGGATTTGGGGACTTTGCCCTGCATACCTTGCATACACAATGGAGCAGCAGCATTAACTTTGGGACATGTCCTTCACTCCTCAGCGAAGATACTTCCAAGGCCCAAGATGGATAATTGAATTTGATTGTTCACAAGATGACGTTGCTTCCAGGGTGCTAGCTACAGTTTAATTTTGGGTTGGTTTTGTTTTGGCCCAGGCTGGCCTGAAACTCACCATATAGTCTTAATTTGGCCTTGAAGTCATGAAAATCTTCTGCCCTCAGACTCGAGAGCCAATGGATAATACACATGAGGTACCATTCTTTGTGGGTATTTTACGTAGTTGCAGGTACACACGAGGTAGGCAATAAGGGCTGTGCATTCTGGGGAGGTTAGCCAGAACATGGAGCCCTGCAATGTGCACACACATGGGATGGCCGGGTGATTAGAAACAGCTGCTGGTAAGATGCCATTCTAGGCAACCTACTGTGCCCAAAACCACATAAACACAACTACCAGTTTGCTATGGATGCTGGAGCACCCTGCTGTGCTGAGAGACACATTCTTTTTAACAGTACCCTGGACCCCTTTTTGAGTCTTGGTTGCAGTGGAAGCAGGAGTCTGATACAGTAGAGGGCCCATCACCTGCTCTTGGGTGGGCTGGAAGTCCTTTCTGGAGTGAGGCAATATAGCCCCTCTGTGGTCCACATTAAACTGCCTACCCCACCACTTCACACCAGGGCCCCAACCCTTAGCACCTGTTCTTCCACCACCCACCCCCACCCCCAGCCAGCATCCTAGTGTCAGACTCTAGATAGAAAGAGCCTGGCTTACAGAGCTGTCCAGTAAACTACAGCTTGAGGCCCAAATGTTCCAACAAGTTCTCATCACTCAAACTTGCAAGCTCTGGGCATTTTCTACAGATTAGTTCAGAAGGGCTAAAAAACTGGTTTAGCAATTAGTCCAAACTATAGATCTTAACAAGCCATATAATATCCAGGAAGCAAATAGCAACTTAAAATCCCCTTAATTTCTCCTTAGGAAAAGAACTTGATAGCCTTCCACACATTCTGCTCTCCGGGTTTTTTTTTTTATTATTTTTTATTTTTTCTACTGCCTAGCTCTTTCTCTGATAACACTAGGCAGTTACAACCCTATCAGTTTTTATGCATCCCTCCAGGAGATTCTTGGAAAGAGGGAGGAAGGCTAGGTGTGGGGGCTGGGTAGTCAGCTCTCAAAGGCTGGCCCAGTTAGCCATCTCTATTCCCCCTGTGTGCTAAGCCTTACTGGAATTTAGGAATTGTAACACCCTTAGAACTAACTAACTACATATAACTGTCTAAAAGCAATCGTTTACAGTAGCTTGAAACACAAAATCTCTGATAGTGATTTAGTTGCTTAAAAATTATTACATGAATTATAATATGAATGCATTTTATAACAGTAAATTGAATAGTATAATCAAGTTGATAGCTTGTTTAATTTTACATTTGTACTCTTGATGCTATGTCATCCTCCCCACCCCCAAGTTACAAGTTTTATGACCTGGACTTTTCATTCATGCTCCGTTCTACACACAGAAGAGGAGTGGAAAGCAGCCCTGGGGAACGGACATTCCTGGCCTGGCTTGCCTCACCATTGTAGAGAGGTCCTTGCCTTTAAAAGCAGTGTGCCCTGAATCTCTCCAGTGCTTCTTTCCAAGGGGTGTACTCTTCGCCACCATTTGCAAATGCCCCGTGCTTTAGTGAAGCACAAGGCTCAGTGCTTATGAAGACTTGAGCAGTAGGCAGTTGCTGTTTAGCCCCGGTAGACCCTGAACTTCCAATCCTGCTGGTGCTGCTTACCACCTCTCAAGTTCTGGGGCCGCAATTGTGTCCATCGTTCATAGCTCACTAGGAGTGTGGTAATATGAATGCCCAATGAATTTTGTTTTAAATTGAGCTTTTTCTCATTACTGTAGTTCTGACACCACACTAAATTGACTGTCATTGGTCATTATAATTTGAGTTGAATTGATTCCTAATTATTTGCTAGCCTAGTATATTTAACATGTGCAGCTCACATGTTAAAGCTAAACGGGGCTGTGTCTATGGTGTGCAATGGGGGCAGGTGGAAAGCATTGCTGAGCCTTTAAAAACATTGTTTGTCTTCAGAAGGCAGAGACCGATGGATATCTGGAGTTCAAGACCAGTCTGGTCCACAGAGTGAGTTCCAGGACAGCCAGGGATACACAAAGAAGCCCTGTCTCAAAAAAAACATTGTTTCCCAAACAAACCCTGCCAGTCAGATGTTTCAACAACTAGTGGCTACCTGTCTCTCTCACCTCTTCTATAACTCTAGTATTTTAGCAACTGAAAAGACAGCAAAAATTCTCATGTAGGATGGGTTTGCTTATTATGAGTTGAGTTCTTGTTTTGTGTTTTCTGATTATGCATTAATCTATCATGGGTCCCTTTCAAACTGCCAGAGCTGGCACTAGGTGGGTATGCTGGTACATTGAAAGTCTACAATCCCTTGGCCTTCTACAGTAAGCTTCTTAGTCTTGGGATTTGACTTTCCTCAGATCCCTTCCTCTGCCCATTGAAGTTCCCCATTAGTGAAAAAGTTATTTCTGAAGGGTGGAAGCTAGGCTTAGATTCTAAAGTTTGTGTAAATATTTTGTTTTCCAGGTCTTGAATCACAACGTCCAAATATAATACTTGGGTTAGTAATATGTCAGAAAGTCAAACGTCCTACAAGTGCTGGAGAGCTAGACAAGACAGATGAGAAGCGGGCTCGACTCCAACAGGAAGAAGCAGAAACTTCAGTTTATCCCAAAGTCGCTGCAACTTTGCCATCTGAGAAGAAGCCTCCCAAGTACCACCTGCACTCTGCAGACACAGCTGCCAGCAGCACTACACCCCCGGGTTCTCCTCCACCCCCTCCTCCTCTTCCTGAACCCCCAGTCCTAAAAATACTGTCATCCCTCAAGCCAGGGTCCACCAGCACTGTGGCAGCGCCCACCACATCAGCAGTGATCACCACCACAGCTCCCCCTGTGGTTTCTGCCTCTTCAAAAACAGCCTCCCCTCTGGAGCACATCCTGCAGACTCTGTTTGGGAAAAAGAAGTCATTTGAACCCTCGGCCAAAGAGTCTGTTGGGTCTACCCTATCTCCACATCAGGATCCCAAGGCCAAGGGGGAAGATGCCGTGTCATCTGCAGCTCCTTTGTTGGATCCAATTGTTCAGCAGTTTGGTCAGTTCTCAAAAGACAAGGCTCTGGAGGAAGAGGAGGAAGGTGACGACCGGCCCTATGACCCAGAAGAAGAGTACAACCCTGAGCGAGCTTTCCATACTCTGCTTGCTGAGCCAGGGAGGCGCCATGACGTGGAAAATGTCCCTGAGACAGCTGAGAGGGAAGAGGTGGCCTACGATCCAGAAGATGAGACCATCTTAGAGGAAGCTAAAGTGACCATTGATGACCTGCCCAATCGGATGTGTGTGAAAGTCAGCTCCACGGAGAGGCCTGCTGACTTTGCCACCGATGCCACTAATCCCTCTCTAGTAGAGCAACAGAAAATGTTAGAAGAGCTAAATAAGCAGATCGAGGAGCAAAAGAGGCAGCTGGAGGAGCAGGAAGAAGCCCTTAGGCAGCAGAGGGCTGCAGTTGGCGCTTCCATGGCACACTTCTCTGTGTCAGATGCACTGATGTCACCACCTCCCAAGTCCTCCCTGGCCAAGACAGACCTGTTCTCTCAGGAACAGCAGGCCCAGGACCCAAGTCATGGAGCCCTGGGTGCCAACCACAGCTTAGACTCCAGACACAGTAGGGACCCGAGGCAGGCCAGGAGGCTGGCTGCTGAGAACACCGAGAGTGAGCCTCTTCCCAGGGCTCCCACAGGAAGCACACCTGGCCCACAAGGCACCCTCCCTGCCAGGGAGATGCCTGCTGCTGGGACTGCAGCAGTCCAGGGACCTGCCCTAGCTCCTGAAGCCAAGGAGTCAGAGGCTGTTCCCTGGGCTCCGGGTGAAAACGCTGTGTTGAGGCCTGAACATGATATGCAGAAGTGTGAGCACCCTGGTAACCCTGTCTCCTTGCCCCTGGACAACAGCCACCTTCCTGCTGCTGGTGATGGTGCATCCAGGCCCACAGCGCCCCGAAGAGTGCTACTGCCCACGCCTCCTAGCACCGCCTTTCCACCCAGCTTCCCTTTGCAGCCTGAAGCACAGAATTTCACCTCCGGAGGCAGGGAGCCGTTTCCAGGACCTATGTTTCTGTCTCAGGAAACATCTCTTGGCTCATCCCAATACGAGGACACTCGGGGTGCTCAGTCTGCTGGGAGGAGTGACAGCCCAGTGGCTGATACTGAGGACAGCAGGGAGCCACAGCTCAGGACTGGCGAGGGAACTACTCAATTCCCCCAGCCTGGGCAGAGGGGAGGGGGCCCTCAGCCGCAGTTTCCTGCCCAGCGGGAACCTTTGCCACGCACTTTTGGGATGTCAGGACACCATGGCCCTGGTTTCCCAGGACCTAGGGGGCCAGTCCCTCCCTTTTCAGAAGAGAGTATTGTTCCTAATAATGATGGACCAAGGGGCCCTCCACCTGCCCGATTTGGGGCCCAGAAGCCACCAATCCCTTCCTTATTCTCTGGGCAACATGGGCCACCTCCCTATGGGGACAACAGGGGACTCTCACCTTCTTACCTTGGTGGGCCCAGAGGAGGAGCACCAGCCCAGTTTGAAGAACGCAAAGACCCACATGGGGAGAAGAGGGAATTCCAGGATACACCATACAACGAGATGGCAGGTGCCCCTGCTCAGTGTGAAGGACCGGACCAGGCCCAGTTCATGGGGAACAGGGCACCCTTCCAATTTGGAGGCCAGAGACGGCCCCTGCTGACTCAGATGAAAGGGCCCCGTGGAGGGCCTCCGCCATCTCAGTTTGGAGGCCAAAGGGGACCACCACCTGGCCATTTTGTGGGCCCACGTGGGCCACATCCTAGTCAGTTCGAGACTCCCCGGGGCCCGCACCCTGGCCAATTTGAAGGACCCAGGGGCCAAGCACCAGGTTTCATGCCCGGCCCCCGTGGTGTTCAGCCCCAGCAGTTCGAAGAGCAGAGGGTGAACTCACCGCCACGGTTTGCAGGTCAGAGGGCACCTGCACCCCTGCCGTATGGAGGACCACGGGGGCCCGCACCCTTTGCTGAGAAAAATGAACAGCCACCTTCTCGATTTCACTTCCAAGGCCAGTCTTCCCAGCCCGTAAAGCCTCCCCCTCGGCCCCTGCTGGAGCTACCAAGCCACCCTCCTCAGCACAGGAAGGACCGATGGGATGATGCAGGCCCGGCCACTGCCCTGCCTTCCGGTGCTGGGTCTGGGCAGGGCCCCGAGGCTGACGGGCAGTGGGCCACGCCTGAGTTCCGAGAAGGCAAAGGGCATGAGTATAGGAGCCCAGCTTTTGAAGGGAGACAGAGGGAGCGGTTTGAAGGAGGACCTAAAGAGAAGCCTCTGGATGAGCCTGAAGCTCAAGGGTTGGAGAATCGGCAGGGCCGGGCGTTTGAGGATCGGAGGCGAGAGCGAGGCCGAAACTGGAGTCGGGAGAGAGACTGGGAGAGGAGCCGGGAGTGGGACCGGCACCGGGAGTGGGACAAAGGCAGAGACAGGAGCTCCAACAGGGACAGGGAGAGAGACGCCGACCGGGCTAAGGACTGGGACCGAAACCGGGAGAGAAGCAGGAATCGCGACCGTGACCGGGAAAGGCGGCGAGACCGAGACAGGTCCCGGAGCAGGGACCGAGACAGGGACCGTGAGAGAGCCCGGGACCGGGACCGGGACCGAGGCCGGGACCGGAAGGACCGTAGCAAGAGCAGAGAGAGCCCTCGGGATCTGAAGTCTGAGGCTAGGACCTCTGATGGGGGCCCCGCCACAGCCCAGGCCTAGAGGCCATTGCACTCAGGGCTGGTGACAAGACAGAGACACGCTGGTGAGGACAAAGACCTCGTGTCAGCTATTGTTAATAGAGGCTTAGCCTGGCAAAGACCCCTTTAAAAGCCAAGTACATAAAATGTGTTGAGCAAAGAGTTTTTGAAATAGCTATGAACTTAGATGCAGGATATAATATTCTGGACTTCAGGAATTACTGTAATTTTGTGTATAATGGTTTGTTACAAAATTTCCCAACTTTACAATTCTGATGTTTTTTTAATAACTTAATGTTTCCATTTAAAATTACAGAAATGGGAAAGTATCTACAAAAGCATATTGCTTTTTTTTTTTCAGATTATAAAGTTATCTTTTCCAATAACTTGACTGGTGTAAGTCTTAAGGGAATTTCAGTGGACCGTAGAGCTAGCTTTCCCTGTGCTGCCATCTCTGCTTCCGTGTATCCTGACCTGTCCGGGGGCTCTCAGTGCTGTCCTGGATGGAAAGCACTGTTGAGGGGGTGAGCTGCGGTGTGTGCTTGCAGTGGGAGAACGGTCTTCCTAGGCCTGGTTCCCCACAACGCATTCTTTAGAAGTTTTTTCAAAACATAATTAGAAATAATCCGTCCCAGTGGAAATTGTTACATTTTAAATAACAATTTATTTTTAAATGTTCAAATTTATCAGCCTAAAGAAGAAGCAAAAAGAGTTCAGAGTAGCTTAAGAGGGAAGAGGCAGGAGCCATTCAGAAAAGCATTGCCCGGTGCTGTCCTCTGAGTGGCTCTCTCAGGCCCCAGACAGGTGATGGGTTTGGAAGCTTCTCGGTGAGATGTGGCAATGTTTGTACCAAATCTGGAAGAGGACTGAGGGTGAAACAGACTGCTTCGTAGCCTTTAGGCTACTCTGCTGTTGCCACGTAGCCCCTCTGAAAATACCGTGAGAAGGTTGGCTAACTTATTTGACTGTGCAAATATGTTTGATAGTTCATTTTATATTTTCATAAACTTACTTTTTCAGATAGAGAATTAGAGAGCTTCGTTTGTTCTTTGGAGTCTTTTATTTCATTGTACATCACTACAGATTTTTTTTTCACTTTATAGCACAAATTTTTTAAGTTGAGAAGACATGAAAAAAATAGCAATTTGGGATATTTGCTATTACAAACCAAATGTCAGTAGTTTAAATTACATGAAAGTGTCAGTTTCAACATCTAAAAAGATGTGAAGTTTTTTTTAACATATAAAGTAAAATTTTCTAACTTAAATGCACAAGCATAAAAATCAAGTGTGTTTCTTTAGGTTTACTTGGTAGAAATTTCTGTACATTGTATTTTGTATTGCAGAGTGTTATATCACTGTCCATTTAAACACAGGACTTCATAGGTTTTGTTACTTGAAGTAGAATAAATATCTACAGAGTTCTTGTCTCTCTCTTCACTTAGCCTTGACCCCCAGTTGTCACAGGTGCAGGCACAAGCTTCCCACTCCCAACTAGCAGCCTGTGTTGGATGCTGCCTGCTGTATGGTGTCAGGACCCAAGGAGCAATGTGCTGGCCAGCATCCTATATAGAACCCTGATTGCATATGTGTGGGCTTGCAGGAAGCCTGCAAGTGTCACTGAAGGCAACCCGTGTTGGAGCTGGATGTAGTAAATGCACAGGTGTCATGGGTAGAGTTCAGCCCTTCACTGCTGGCTTTTAACAAGGAACCTAGCTGATTGTGGAGCAACTATTCTGGTGGAGTTGGTGACCCTTGACTGCCACCTACTGGTAAGACTTGGACCTACACCCAGCTGCTATATCTCCACCTAGGTACCCAGTCAAGAAGATCCTGACCCAGGCCCAGCTGGTTAAGTGTTTGCTGGGGCTTGGAGGCTGACAGCAACTCCCTCACCAAAAAGCCTCTGACAGCCATATCACTTTTCTTTTTTGAGGTATCCCTGCTATATAACCTCAGATTCACAGCAGTCGTCCTCCACCCTGCTGAGATCTGAGATTATAGGTAGGTACCATCACCCCAGCTCCCATTTTAACTTGATCCTACATGTGTACCTTGGCTGCATTATGTCACTTTGATGTCCACCCCAAGACTCCCTGAAACCTATTGCAGGATCCTGCAGCACACCTGAAAAGGCAGGTGCTAGGGCCCCCAATGTAGGGTAGTATCCTCTACCCATTCTAGAGCCCCAGCAACAGCAGCCAGGACATGGGTTACCAAATCCAGTAACAAGTGAGCAATAGTATCTGTGTCCCAGGGAAAGCATAGACACTGTCTATGGCCCAGCCCAGGAAGGGCCTGACCTGTAGAACACAGAAGACAGATGTCTGGGAAAGTAGCTAGTAAGTACTGCATGTCAAGCCTGCTCCCTACAGCAGCTCACATCTGTATGGCTTTTAGAGCACACATCTGTATATCTCTTAGAACACAGGTCTGTATGGCTCTTAGCAAATGTTAGGGAGGGGGGAATTCAACCATGGTTTTACACGCAGCAGACAGCTAGTAATACCTATACATGTTTGCCTCTCACATTCCTGTGACAGAATACTTAAACAAGGAAGGAAGGGTTATTCTGAATAGTGGTTTCAGGGGGATTCAGTCTGTCATGAAGACTGGAGCAGCTGTTGTTGACAGTGGGTGCTTGTGACATGTCCTGTTCACATCTTAATGAATCAAGAAGCACACTGCTCAGACCCTGAAGCACATCTGGGCTGTAAACTTCAAAGCCACTCTCCCCCACTTGGTGGCCTGTGTCAACCATCTAGGTTGCTTGTCTTAAAGGTTTTATTAGCTCCTAGAACAGCACCACCAACTGAGGACCAAGTATTCAAACATTTGAACCTGTGAGAGACATTTCAGATCCAACCATATTCAGTCTTATCTTTTGCTTAATTAATAAGATGTGGATTGTATAATATCATATTTATTGGTTTTTTTTCCTTGTCAGTAAACTGGATAATTCCCATATATTACACATGCACTCAAACTCTTGTTTACAGGAGGGCTTGGTAGCACACGTGTCATAGGCAGGCAGATCTCTCTGAGTTTAAGATCAGGTTGCACAGTGAGACCCTGTCTCAAAAACAGTACTGTAGTGGCACCTTTTTCCACCAATAGATTTGAGGTACCGACCTTTGGGTGTGGCTTTGGTGTGCAGATGTAATCCCTTGTAAGGAAGGGGAGGGGCCTCAATCTCTCTTGTAGCTTCTCTGGAAGGAGTATTTCATCTTCAAGTTTAGATTTGGACTGTTCTAGATTTTCACAGGTTGCCTCCAAAACTTTGTGCTTCTGTTGGCTCCTTGCCAAAGCTGGCCTCCATTCACGATGACTAAGCAAGCCTTCATACTCCTTTTGAACAAGGCTCACTTTTTCAAATAGTTTGCATTTTTCTTCAGTTCGCACAGAACGCTCGAGAGCAAGTCTTTTCTCTCTTCCCACATAAATCGGCTTCGAATTGATTGGAAGCCTCTCCACAGGAGCAGGAGAATGAATGGTAAGTAGTCTAAGGGTAAGCACACTTATTGCCAATTCCAATGAAAAACTACAGCAGCTCCAGAACCCGCCCCATGAAGCCCCTGGCTCCCGCCATCACCACACCCATGGGCGGAGCTATGGCATATTCTGTTACTATTTCTGAAAAGCCTGCAAATTTTGAACACCCAAAAGGATATACTGAATGCAAATGGGAGCCCATTCGTATGAAAGATTTAAAAGATATTAAGGAAGCAGTAGTTTCTTACGGCATGCATTTACAATTTGTGAGGCAGTTAGTAATGACCAGCTTCAATTAGTCTCAGCAGTTTTAGACCTGGGTCCATAGTTGCAGTGGAAGTCATATTGGAGGAAAGAGGCCAAGGCCCCTGAACATCAAGGCAGAATCAAAGGTTATGAGGCTCCCCAAGATCAGATTCTTGGTGAAGCCTGTTTTGCTGATGCAGATACTCAAGCTACATACAATGAACACATCTTGTCCCTATGCCATACAGGGATAATGAGTCATATACTAAAGTTATACAAGGTTCAAAAGAACCCTTTAGTGACTTTTTGCAAAGACTGACTAAAGCTGAACAAATAAGGGTAGCAGATCCAGAAGCTAGACGAGTACTCATTGAATCTCTGGCTTTTGAAAATGCTAATTTAGAATGCAAAAAGGTGTGTGGGGCCTTAAAGATCAGATCAGCACCAATGGATGAATGGATCCTGCACACAGCCAATGTTGAGTCTTTTGATTATAACACTGAGGCCTGGGTAGGAGAAGCCATCTCCAAAGGTATGAGGAGACATCAAAATACCAAATGTTGGGGCTGGAGAGATGGCTCAGAGATTAAAAGCACTGGCTACACTTCCAGAGGTCTTGAGTTCAATTCCCAGTAACCACATGGTGGCTCACAACCATCTGTAATGAGATGTGGTGCCCTCTTGTGGCAAAAAGGCATACGTGAAGGCAGAATGTTGTATACATAACCTTTTTTTAAAAAATACCAAATGTTTTAATTGTGGTAGAATAGACCATCTGAAAAGAAATTGTAGACAAGGCATTCCTAGAAATAACACTTCTTCTGGGAAAGATCCAAAAAGAAGGCCCTAACCTTCTGGATTATGTAGAAGATGCAGCAAAGGCCAACACTGGACCAATGAGGGTAGATGAACAGGAGACAAGACCTAAAGTCACTACATCTGTTCATGGTCACAGTATGGGTGGTAGCCATGTGTGTAAGGCCAGGAACCTCCTGAGTCTGTCATGGAGTGGCTGTGTAAGGTGATACTTTGAGAACAGAAGGAAGATCAGGATGGCCAGGCTGGGACAGGGGTGAGAGGCACCACCGGGGACAGCCTGGGGAACTAGGACTGCTCTGTATCTTGATGGCAATACAATCACATGACTTATTCCTCAAGAACCAAGACTTAGAAGAGACTCCATCTCGTAAGTGCGTAGAAGCTCCTGAGGTGTTCAGGTCCCAAAGAGAAGGTGTGGAGTTGGTGGGAAAGGAGGAACTGTGGTGACATTTTGTTTATAAAGCTTACCTGAAGATCGAGTGCAGAGCTAGCCTTGCTAGTTAGCCATAGAAGCCAGTCAGTGGTGGCACACACCTTTAATCCCAGCACTTGAGAAGCAGAGGCAGATGGATCTCTGTTAATTCAAGGCCACCCTGGGCTACACGAGATTAACTCAATCTAAAAGAGAAACAGAGCCAAGTGGTGATGGCTCACACCTTTAATCCCAATAATTGGGAGTCACAAACCTTTAATCCCAGCACTAAGGAGGTGGAGACAGGAAGGGATAAGGCTGGAGAGAGATAGGAATATAAGGTGGGAGGAAACAGGAGTTCTATGAAATCTGAGCAGCAGTCAGTCTGAGGCAGTCTGATTGCCCCTTTGGTCTGAGCATTGGTAGAGGTAATAACTCTAGCAGAGCAGTGGTGGCACATGCCTTTAATTCCAGCACTAGGGAGGCAGAGGCAGGCAGATCTCTGTGAGTTTGAGGCCAGCCTGGTCTACTACAGAGCAAGTTACAGGACAGCTAGGGCTGTTACACAGAGAAACCCTGTCTCGGAGAGTTTCTGATACTTCAGCTTTCACCCCCTGATAGCTGACTCTGAGTTTTTATTATTAAGACTAAAGAGAATTTTTTCTGTTAAGACCAAAGAGACTGGCACTGTTAGGTCGTAGAGCACAATTAAAAAAAAAAAAAAAGTCAATCAGACCACTGAGGTCTATTAATCAGAAGCAACTTTACTCATCAATGCAGGGTACAAAAACTTATAACTAGTTAGGGCCACAAATGTCTTTTTATAGCAAAAGACCATATGCAGGGTGGGGAGAGCATGCCTGGAGTTGGGATTTACAGCTTCTGGGGAGTGTATCTCAGAATCAGGATTTATGACCACTGGGGAGTGCACCCCTGAGTGCAGTGGGAGTTTACAACCTCTGATTACAGGGTGTTAGTTCAAGATGTTTAAATAGCTGTGAGTCTGTTTTAACTGTCCCCGCCCCAATCTGGGGAGAATGTAGGGCAAAAGGTTAGG